CCCCAAAACCCCAAAACCCCAAAACCCCGCAATCCATTGATAACTTTACTAATCTTATTATTTGAAAAAAAGAAATATAATGAACTAAAATATTCACAGATTATAATTTACCTATGATGCAGGAATTAACTTCTCAACATAAAAGTTAATACATGCTATATGGACTCTTTTTTATTGCTTTCCTCCTGCTCATTTATACAAACTAGGACTAGATAACGAATTCATTTTATGCTTTATACGAAACTGAGTCATATAGCAGAGGAGGAAGATATGTTAGAAAGACACCCAGAGTGATGGAATTTTAATAAACGAGATTTAAAGTAAGCAAGATGGCAACAGACGTTCAAGTAGGAGTCATTAAAAATGTAGATGCTAAATTCAATCCTGAGTCGTTACTCACCCCTGATAAACTCAATCGTATATATTTTTCCTTTAATAATATTTAGAGAAGATAGTCTTTGTGTGATAAGAGGATTAAAACTTCAAAAAATATATCTAGAATATTAATAGTCTTTTCTACGCTACTATTTTTATTGGTTCTGAAAGTGAGAGTATGAAAATGCTGCTTGACACGACTTCTTCTGTAATTTTTCAATAAAGTTAAACTTTGCTTTAGTGGCTGATAGTTGCTGGGCAAGGCTGCGAGAACTGTGCAAGCAAAACTTTTAATTCTAATTTATCACAAACCTTTATAGAACTTGAGAAAGATCCTGATAACTTAGTTGTAATTTTAATATTAAGCATTAGTTATATTATTTTAGAATGACTACTGAAATAACCTCTACGTAATAGGGACACTTTCATAAGACTAGCTTTCATTGTCAAAGTCCACTCAGGCTTTTAGACTTAATCAGTTCAAATTTATCACATATAAATTTCAAAGTGGCTATGTAACCAAAAAGTTAAAATTAATATTTTTAGAAAGGACTTGACGGTATAATCGGATTATCAAGAGAGTATGTTTCAATTTCAAGAAGTTCAGGTCCTCTTTTTGTTAAACATCTGAAAAATGAGGGAAAGATTTATGAATCAATATATGCTCTATCAATGGCAGACGACATGAATTACAGTTACATTGATATTGGTACATATCAACTCGAGGATTCTACAATGCATGTGATCTGGTTTTAGAATTAAAGTTATTCATTATACTGGTAATGCCACCTTAATGCTTATATGGTGGGAAGGGTAAGGATTTTAGTAAGATAATTAACATAATATAGTATGGTAGGCTACCTAATGGGACAAAAAATGGTGTATCTTAAAATTTGACAGCAAGGATTAGCACAATATCCTCATTTTTGCAATTTCCTTAGCAAATGTACCGAAATGTCCTAAATGCTGTGCTTTACAACAAAACATACTACCTTATTGATAAATATGTTATTGCAACTTGCAACATTTCGGAGTATCAAAGCATCTATCTCAGACTGGACAATCATTGGTTTGAGATAAAACCTGAATCATATGTGCTTAATTAAACAGTTGATGGGCAGTTGGATTTGAAAGAATTATGCACACTAGGTATAATCCCATCTACTGACTAAACCATTATTCTTGGAAATGTATTCATTAGGAACTATTACACAATATTTGATTTAGAAAATGATTAGTTAGGCTTATATATGAATACATATCTGAAGTCAGATTATTTTGAAGGACCTTTACCTTAATTTATAGAACTACCGAATTAGCATTCTAACTAGCCATCTTTCTATGAATAGTATAAATGGGTAATTTTGATATGGACGCTTGCAATCGTTGCTATTCTTATACTTATTGCATTTCTACTATGGTTTTTTTTCGTGTTCCAAAAAACATCTTCTTAAAATTCAGGACATAATGGAACAATAAAAATTCTGAGAGTAAAATTTGCTTAATAATTTCCTCAGATAGCTTGATTAATGCGTAAGTTGTAATCTAAGAGTAATAAAAATCAGCTAGAATTATAAGTAGAGTATATTATATTAAAGTATTTGAATGCTCCTTCCTTCTTAAAAATCCAAATATTTTAATTAACAGTATTAAATTATGCATGTTTCTCAAAAATATTTGCTATTGTCATTAATACCCTGAATTATGCATTTGGGGTTTTGGGGTTTTGGGGTTTTGGATTCCCATTGAACAAGATTTTCATGACCAAACCAGAGAGCGATCTCTTTATTGGCACTGTCAACTGAATCACTACCGTGAATAACATTTCTGCCAACATCAATTGCAAGATCACCTCTGATGGTACCTGGCTCTGAGTCATCTGGTCTAGTGGCACCGAGCATTTTTCTGCCAGTCTTGACAACGTTGTGACCTTCCCAAACCATAGCGACTACTGGGCCTGAGGCGGCATAGTTTACTAGGCCAGCGAAGAATGGCTTTGAGCTGAGATCAGCGTAGTGTTGCTCGAATTTCTCTTTGCCTGGTTGATCCATTTTAAGACCAACTAGCTTGAAACCCTTTTTCTCGAATCTGGAAAGGATTTCACCGACAAGTCCTCTTTGGACACCGTCTGGCTTGACCATAATGAATGTTCTCTCTCTTGCTTCAACCATTTTAATATCTTTTTATTAATTATAAGTTACATCATATTTAATAGTAAAGATATAAATGTGTTTCTACTATCTTTTTTTAGTTCATGAATTTGATCTAAATCATGTTAAATTGAAGCTTTATTGGTATAGTGGGGTTTTGGGGTTTTGGGGTTTTGGGG